TCGCTGCTGGGCAAGGTGAGGGCTTGGAGCACGGGGGGGTCCCGGGGGGCCTGGAGCTTTGGAAGCTGCTGCACAGCCCTGCGGTTCTCCCTGGCATCCCCAATGTGTCCGGGGCTCGGAGCACGCCTTGCGGGTGGGTGGCAGAGGCACCCCGTGCATGGGGACACGTCAGCGGACTCTCTGCAGCCTGCATCCCCAAATGCCACCCGTCTCTGCCCGGCCAGGGCAACTTTGGCAGCGTGGAGCTGTGCCGCTACGACCCGCTGGGCGACAGCACCGGCGAGCTGGTGGCCGTGAAGAAGCTGCAGCAGGACTCGGCCAAGGAGCTGCGGGACTTCGAGAGGGAGATCCACATCCTGCACTCGCTGCAGCACGACTTCATCGTCAAGTACCGTGGCGTCTGCTACAGCCGCGGTGAGCGCGGCGCCGTGGGGCCGCACGGCCCCGGTGCTCAGCACCTGCATTGGGATCCTCCAGGGAGAGCCCGTTCCCATGGCACAGTTGGTTCTGGAGCTGCAGTGCTGTCCCTGGTGCATGGGGACATCGGTGACATCTGTGCCTGTCCCCAGGGCGCCGCGGCCTGCGGCTCGTCATGGAGTACCTGCCCAACGGGTGCCTGCGGGACTACCTGCAGAAGAACCAGCACCGCCTGGAGCACCGGACCCTGCTGCTCTACGCCTGGCAGATCTGCAAGGTGGGTGCGCGGGGACACGGGCCACCCGCGCCGCGCTGGGCCACCCCAAGGCACCGGGAACATCCATATGGGCAGCGCGTGGCCCTGGCTATGGGTCACCGTGAGCCCTGTGCCCCTGCGCAGGGCATGGAGTACCTGGGGGCGCAGCGCTGCGTGCACCGCGACCTGGCCAACAGGAACATCCTGGTGGAGAGCGAGAGCCACGTGAAGATCGGCGACTTCGGCCTGGCCAAGCTGCTGCCGCAGGGCAAGGACTATTACGTGGTGCAGGAGCCCGGCCAGAGCCCCATCTTCTGGTGAGGGCACGCGTGGCGCTGGGGATGCCGCGCGGCTCGGCCGGGCTTGGTGCTCAGCACCCTGCGCCGGCAGGTACGCGCCCGAGTCCCTCGCGGACAACGTCTTCTCCCGGGCGTCCGACATCTGGAGCTTCGGCGTCCTCCTCTACGAGCTCTTCACCTACAGCAACAAGAGCAAGAGCCCCTCCGAGGTGAGACCGCCCCGGGGTCCCGCTGACCCCATGGGCGCCAGTGCAGGAGGCTTCACTCTCCTGCACCGCGTCCAACCCCGGGGGTTGGTGCTCCTGGCTCCATCCGTCCATCACCATTGAGTCGGGGGGGACACACAGCCCTAACTGGGGGGGTGCTGGCACCCCCCGGCC